CCTTGTCCGAACGAAGCCGTCCGAGGTTGAGCTCGGTATCGGGTATTCCACGCATTTGCATTTTATAACTCCGGCTTTGTATGTGATTTTTTACGCGGATATCGAATACCCCGCAAATGTTGGGACCGTTCGGACATTTATTTTTATAAAGCTGGCCAAGATCACAAGATAGCGTTTCCTATATGTGTATTTTAAAGAAAAAATTAGGGGAAGGGGTGGCGCGCGTCCGAGCCATTGTCCGAACGAGACAAGGTATCCTACAATACTGTACATGGGAGGATGTTCGGACGTTGTGGCGGCGTTTACTTTCCATCGCAAGCACTGCCATTGACGTGCGTACCCACGCAGGCTGTCCCAAGCAGTCGCAGTCGCAGCGACGCGACCGCTGCATGGACCCGCACCGCGGCTGTCTATCCGGATAATATGCCATGTTATCCGTATATTCGTAATGGCGTGTGTCACAAGCTGTGCGAAGTGAACTCTCGCCTCCTCTCCCTTGCGCATCACCATCATGGTTGTCGGTCCGTCTCCGTTCCTCTCGCCGCTCCAGGTCCAGGCCGCCGCCCGCGAGTACCCGCCTGTGCCCAGCGTCTGCGTCGTCACGGGCGGCACGGGCTTTGTCGGCCAGCGCGTCGTCGAGATGCTCGTTGAGCGTGGCGCGACCAAGGTCATCTCGTTCGACATCGTGCCCAAGCCGGCGAGCGGCTTCTGGGAGCACCCGAGCATCGAGTACGTCGTCGGCGACATTGCGGACAAGGACGCAGTCATGGCGGTCTGCGAGGGCGCCGACTGCGTGTGGCACTTGGCGGCGGCCGTCGGCCCGTTCCACCCGACCGAGCTCTACTACCGCGTTAACTACCAGGGCACGCTCAACGTCATCGAGGCGTGCAAGGCGCACAAGGTGCCCAAGATCGTCATGTCGTCGTCGCCGTCGACGCGCTTTGACGGCTCGGACATTGACGGGCTCACGGAAGACGAGATGCCGACGTTGCCGCAGGCGTCGTACCTCCAGGACTACGCCGCCACGAAAGCCATGGGCGAGATCGAGATGCTCAAGGCCAACTGCGACGAGCTGCTCACGGTCGCGATCGCGCCGCATCAAGTCTACGGCCCGCGCGACAACCTCTTCATGCCCAACATCCTCGAAGCCGGCGGCAACGGGTCGCTCCGCATCTTCTCGTCGGGCCGCACCGGCTACGGCTTTAACAAGGTGTGCTTCACGCACGTCGACAACTACGCCCACGGCCTCATCATTGGTGAGCGCGCGCTCGTGCCGGGCGGAAAGGCCGCCGGCAAGTTTTACATCGTCACGGACGGCGCGACGCACCCGAGCCCCGCCGGGTACGCGTACTTTTGGAAGGTCGTCGACGAATCCATCATCGCGATGGGCTTCCCGAGTCTCTGGGAGAAGTTCAAGCTGCCGTCGTGGGTTCTCTGGCCCGTCGCGTATGCGTCTAGCGCCATTTCGTACGTCACGGGCCGCAGCATCAAGCTCAACCCGTTCACGGTGCGCGTGCTCACGATGCACCGGTGGTTCGACATCGCGGCGGCGACAAGCGACCTCGCGTTCGAGCCCATCGTGCCCTTTGACGAGGCGTGGAAGGACATGAACGCGTGGTTCCTTGCCAACTGGCTGCCCAAGTTCCAAAAGACGCATGGCATGGCCGGCATCTCTGCGCAGTCGCAAGCCAAGATTGACGTCCAAGCAACGACGATCGCGTCGTAGACGCTCGATTTTCTACAACCACGCACACTACGACGACAAATATGCTGAGAATGAAAATCATTTAGTGACGAGATTTGAGGCCGGCTGGTTTCTGCCCATTCGACTGCACAGGAATGGAATGGCTGCTTGGTTTGCGTCGTGCTTCGAAGTGACAGTGGGAATGATGGAGAAAAGCGATAGGGCCAAGCCTATGTATACAGTATAGATATAAGGGCTTGTGGCCAAGCCTATGATTCGAGTGGACGGTGCACGCTACACCGCATCTCACCCGGCCAAGCGCCGTCGCAGCTGCAGCACAGTTTTTGGCTACCTCTGCGTGTAGCCACCGCCTACCATCTCCTAGTGTACGGTCGTGTATCGCACGCCAGGTTTGCATCGCAGGTGTAGACGGCAGGAGGAAGGAAGGAAGCAGGTCGCCATTGACATCCACGCGCAAGATCTGAAATGGGATGGCTCGATCTGACAACCCAATGCAAACACCGTCAGAGCCGGGGCTGGATTCTGCACTCATATCGGTTCCGCGTTGTCCGCTGTTCGTAGCCTGCATTGGCGTCGCCCATTGACACTGCACGGTGAATGTGTTCGATTGCAGATCCGGCGTGTCGGAGCCGTCCGTTTGTTGTCGAATCAACCCAGGATGTAACGGCGAGGACACTTTCTTTCTCAAGACCGTCTCCTCTGATCGAAGCACATATTGTATTGTATGCTGTTGGCATGAGACAGAGGGCGTGAATCGTGCCGTTTGAGACCATTGCGAGAAAGCCATATCAGTGACTCACCCCCACATGGACCGTATGCATGTCGTTACATTTAGGCAGGACCAGGACGAAGAACTCGGTGCCGTTGGATGACGCTTTGCGCGACCGCGATGTGCACGTCGTCACCCACGACCTTGGCACTCGCTGCTGCCCAGCCCCGAGGTCGCGACTGACCCCATTCCTGCCGCTTTGGACTTTGGCTGCTCTCGACGGCAGTAGAGTGTGAGCGTGTACGCAAGGTGCCAAAGATAGGACTGCAATCGTGGTGTGAAAGCGGCGCGCCGAACAACGTCGTCGACGACTCTACGGTCGGAAAGCACGGCGCATGGACTGTATAGGGGCAGCTTGAAACCCACTCTGGTAGAGATCCTCGCGGCGTTGGCGCAGAAAGGCGCGCGTGTCACAGCAGTGTGTCATCCGTACCAAGTTGAAGACGAAAATAAAATACGTTGGCATACATTGCCCAAGAGCTTGTGATAAAACACGCGCCACGACGCTCGTGCTTCGAGCATACCACGTGTTTGTGCGGTAACAAACACACGGACGGCGCTCGGTCGCCGCGTTGCTCTTCGTGCTCATTTACCAACTTTCGCCTCAAAGCAAAGTCTCTCAACGCATCATGAAGATCGCTGCTGTTGTTGCCATGGCTGCGCTCGGCGTTGCCGCTGTCTCGGCCGAGTCGCAGGCCCGCAGCATCTATCGCTTCGATGCCGAAGAAGGCGAAGGCTTCGATCCGATTGAGGAGACAATCGAGTCGTATGAAATGTACCCGACGCCGGATCCGACCTATCCGACGCCGCAACCGACAATCCCGACGCCCAAGCCTACTACGCCAAAGCCTTGCACCACCACGCCTGCGCCTACGACGCCAAAGCCGTCAACTACGCAGCCCGCGACGACCAAGCCGTGCACCACGCAGCCCACGACGACCAAGCCGTGCACCACGCAGCCCGCGACGACCAAGCCGTCGACTACGCAGCCCGCGACGACCAAGCCGTGCACCACGCAGCCCGCGACGACTAAGCCGTGCACCACGCAGCCCGCGACGACCAAGCCGTCTACTACGCAGCCCGCGACGACCACGCCGTGCACCACGCAGCCCGCGACGACCAAGCCGTCGACTACGCAGCCCGCGACGACCAAGCCGTGCACCACGCAGCCCGCGACGACTG